GTGGCTGGACCCCCCCCAGGCCCCCCACAAAGCCTCTCCAACTGTAACACCCCCTCTGATCCTATCAGCCCCTGTGCCTGCCCTGCTCCCACCAGGCTGTATTGACCCTACCAATCCCGCCACAGCAGGCACTGTGCTCGGGGCGGGGGGTCATCTCCTCTCTCCTTCGCTGTCCAGCCGGTGATATCCCTGACCAGAGAGGTCTGGGCCATAGGCCAGGCCACGGACACACCCACCTGTCTGCCTGCACTGGCTGGGTGCCCCACAGACACGGGTGTGTGTGGGGGGGTGCTCTCCCCAAGATGATACAAGAATCCCGCCACAGCAGGCACTGTGCTCGGGGCGGGGGGTCATCTCCTCTCTCCTTCGCTGTCCAGCCGGTGATATCCCTGACCAGAGAGGTCTGGGCCATAGGCCAGGCCACGGACACACCCACCTGTCTGCCTGCACTGGCTGGGTGCCCCACAGACACGGGTGTGTGTGGGGGGGTGCTCTCCCCAAGATGATACAAGTCTCCCCCAGGGACTGTCCCTGCTGGACTCACTGCCAAAAGCTCATGGGGGGGAGGAGATGTGAGGGCCCAAGGCCCAGTCTCAGGAGACAGTGAAGCCATGTTGCTCACCTGGGGAGGAAGAGTGAGTCCCCTGCGGGGAGGGGAAGGGGGGGTCTGACCTATTGATGGGCCCTTCTCTGAGTTTGTACTCAGGCAGGGGCCTAACCCAGCCCTGTGGATCCACGGCAGGGTTCGGGCAGGTGCCAGAGATGATCCAGCCTGTGTTTGTTAGGAGTAGGACCAGGCACAGCACTGCCGTCATGCCCCCCCAGCAGTGGAGGTGAGGTGGGGGGAGAGGCTGGGCTGGTGCTGAAATAGCGCACATCCCTGACTGCACACAGCCCTGGGGCAGCTCCCAGGGGGGTGCCTGCAGCACAGATAAGAAATGCAGAGAGGACATGGCAGCCTGGACTCCAGCACAGACCAGCCCACCAGTGCCTCAGCTATGTTCTTAGGCTTGGGGCCTGGCTCACATGCACTCACTGCTGTGAGTGGTGCTAGCCATTGCTGCAGACAGGCAGTAGCCCCCAGCCCACCCCCTCTCCCAACGCAGGGAATGCAGCACAGCCCCATGCAGCCTCCCCACTCCAGGGCTTATCTCTGTGCCCAGGCCCCGCAGGGACAGGAAGAGTGATGAGTCTGCCTGAGCTGGGAGGGGCCCTGGGGGAGCTGACTCTGTGTGTGGCACCAGCACAGGGACACCAGGAAATGAAATGCCCTGTGCTGGATAGCCACTGCCTTGCACATGGGGGAGGGGCCTGCAGGGGTTCAGTGCCTCTTCCCCTGGGGGCATTTAGGAGCCTTCTGCCAGCCAGGGGAGGTCTGTACCCTGAGGCTGCAGATATTTCCAGCAGTGCCAGCTGCCTCCTGCTCACCCCGCTCTGCTCTGGCAACAGGACCCAGAGAGGGAAAATTCTGAGTGGGGAGCAGCTCAGCCAGTCCCTGGCACTGCAGCCCCCACCCTGCTCCAGCAGATGCCCCTGCCTGGGCACACTGGCCCTCTCCAGGCGCCTTTGTCAACTGTTCTCCTACCACTTGCCTGGTTAACATCCCCCTTTCCTCCAGCACCCTCCCCCAGCCCTGCGGGAGCCGTAGCTTAGTCTCACCTCCACTCATTCTTTGGCAGATACAGATTTAGCTCTTCCCGCCTGGGCCCAGCTCCCCCACCCGATCCTGCTCAGCCCAGTGCTCAGGAGACACGTGCATTTGGCGCAGTGGCCACCAGCAAAGCTGTGCGCAGCAGGTGCTGAGAGAGTCACGCCCTGTGGTTCCTTTGCCTGGAGAGTGTCCCCTAGACCCTCCCTCTGCAGCCCCCTTGCTCCCCCTCCTGCAGAGATCCTATGGCACCCCAGACTCCTGTCTGGAAAGCAGGGATCTGACACCTCCCCCCCAGGATGGGGCTCCCAA